TTCAAGGACAAACTAGATTGATTATAATTTGAATATAATTTTGATGATTCAATATCAATGACGTCATTATCAGCGTTTGTCGATCTTGTAAGTAAAGGACTAATAGCATTTTGTTTTTCATCATGTGCACCCATTTTTGTTGTCATTTCAATGGTCAACAATGTTGTCTATTAACTATCACCTTGTCCCCATATAAACAGCTGATAAAAAAGAAGATGTAAGATAGCAACAAAGTTAATTTCGTTATCAATAGCTTTTGTAGAAAAATAAGACTTTGTTTTTCATGCATTCGATTATATTATTTTCTTAACTTTATTATTTGCTTGTTTAGTATTAAAATGGAATTTCAATTTCTTTGTCAATTTATGAAAGAATTATTTTACTCTTCATTGGATTTTATTGTTAAAGTAATGAATCTCTGATTGCTATTGAGATGAACGTTAAAAGACGAAATCTATAATATGATAGATTATTTTATAAGTCAGTGAGTAGAGAAAAGAACATGATCACTTTATTTTGATTATCCTAAAAAGTATATAGTAATCTTTTTGTCAATTTTATTTTATATATAACCTTATTTAATCTGTTCATAGACAGAATTGGAAATAAAATATAATTGAAGTTTTGACAAAATTTTTTTAATAATATTAAATATATATATATTTGGTTTATAACGTAAATTCGTTTTGTCTTCTTTCAAAGTTGTATCTAAGTTATTAAAAGATTTTTTTATTTTCTGATTTTATTATTTAAGACAACAAACATAAAACGTATGTTTAATTCTTTTTTCTATTGCTTATATTGTAGAACAAAAAGTTGTTTAATTACTTAATAATAGCTGTGATATTGCAGTATTTATAAAAAGAACTGTTAGCACAATTCTTGCGGGATGCAACACGGCATGCTACTTCTCTATGATTAGAAAATTCAAATGAGATGACTATGAGAAAAAGTATCATCGAAATTAAATTCAATGCTTCGAGGAAAATAAAACATAAGGAGTTGGTGTTAATATACAGAAGTGTATAGAAATAAAATGTATATTTTTGAGATTGGATTGACTGAATCCGGAAAATCATCCTTTCCGTGTTAACTATTTTTAAATCGTTCATTTAATGTTTTGAATATTAATATTAATGATTGGCACTACAAGATAGTTCTTTTCATATTCCTTTTTACTCCTAAAGTATATTTTGAATATAACACAAGCTAACTGACAATTGTGCGAATGCAAAAAACAAAAGAAGGAAACTAATCTACCCTCAAAAATATAGAATTTGTCTCTATAGATTTTTCATATGATCATGAATTTCCTGATCTAACCAAACGCGAGATTTTGAATTGTAATCCTTCATTTGAATGCGTAAAGATCAATTTCAGCTATGCATCATAGACATTTGATCATGAGGTTTGTAATAATATTTCTTTAGCTTGTATCGTTCCTTGGATAATAATGTACAAAAATTTGAATCTTTTAGAAATATGATTTTACCTTACTCTCACATTCCTTCATGATCCTTTTACTTAATACTTCAGGAATGCAATAATGAAGTAGTTCAAGTATTAGAACTAAATGTGATTGATATACGATCTGTGATGGTTTTCGGCTAACATCTATCACAGTTTGTGGGGAGAGAAGGACCCAAATCTTCACTCAATATACTTCAACACTCCTTGTGACTCTAACACGACTACCTTTATGACTATTATTTGTTGTCCTTCTGAAGTTCATGCAA